CATTCAAAATGAATGATTTTGGACAAGTAGATAATGTCTTTGGTATCAAAGTTAGAAGCAATAGTTGGGGTTTAACATTGAACCAATCACATTATATTGATAATGGGATAAATAAATTCAAACACTCGAACGTCAAAAAGACTAGTACCCCTTTGGATCCAAGTATCAAGTTGATCAAAAACGATGGAAGAGCAATAGCTTAAATAGAATACGCAAGTGTGATTGAAAGTCTTATGTACACGGCACAATGTACAAGACCTAATATTGCATTTGCTGTGAGTAAACTAAATAGGTTTACTAGCAATCCAAGTTCTGAACTTTGGTAAGGTTCTTGGTTACTTATAAAAACCTAAAAACCTTGGACTACAATATACAAACTTCCCTACTATCTTGGAAGATATACTAACGCCAGTTGGATATCAAGTGTAGGAGAAAACAAATCCACTTCAGGTTGGATAGGAGAAGATGCAATTTCTTAGAAATCTAAGAAACAAATATGCATTACTCATTCAACAATAGAGTTAAATATTGTAGCATTGGCCGAAATTGGAAAAGAAGCTGGGTGGCTAAGAGATCTATTATATAAAATACCTTCAATATAAAGGATATTTCCTCAACACCTATCTTATGTGATACTCAAGCTACTCTAGCTCGGGTATATAGCGAAGCATGTAATGGAAAGTCTAGACATATGAGTCTAGGACATGAGTATGTGAAAAAATTAATCAAGCATGGAATAATTTCTTTTACATATGTTAAATCTAGAGAAAACTTAGCTGATCCGTTGAATAAACCTCTTACAAGAAAGTTAGTAAGATTAACATCAAGTAGGATGGGTTTGAAACACCTAATTAAATCCACCAATAATGACAAGCCTACCAAAGATATACTAAACAAGTATATTTAGGTTCAAAGGGTAAAAATAAATCATTAGATAAGTGGATAGATTTTAACACTATTAAAATTATTAAACCTTAGCCTTGGTAAATAGAGTTGGTTGTTACAGTTGGAGGGGTGAATTATAAAAACTCTTAATGAAGTTCAGTACAGGGTTCAAGTATCTCTAAAAGTAACAAAGACACTTTAAGAACTTCACATATGTAAACTTTGAGGTGGTGTCACCTCACTAGAGAATTAGAGTTTTTTCTCTTTAAAAATTCAACAAAAAAAAAGGATAAGTACAAGGCCATATTAGCACAGACCGAGTTAGAGGAGCTTGTGGAAATTTTGACACGTGTGTGTGGTTTCATCAATAATGTTACAAGAAATAATTGGTTCAAAGTTTTCTAGCTACCGGAAGTTACGATAATGCTTTGTGAGATTTTCACTATAGTTAGATTCATATCAAAAAATATCTAATACTTATGCATGAGTGTTGATATTTGAATATGTGATTAACATTGATTTTGAACAAGTTGGGGATTGATATAATATTGATTGTTCAAAATCAATTTGGATGAATTAAGAAAATCAAAAAGGGAAAATAATGCCATATATATGGCTTATGCGACCGCATTGGGCTTTAAGACCTACGGTCGCATGTGACCCTTCAGAGCCTAATTAGGCGGCCAACGGTATAGCCATGCGCTATAAACTCTAACTGTTGACTGGATTTTTTTTAAAATTTTTTAGTTTTTTTTTTTTGGTAAATCATTGTACCTCTTCTTATTGGAACTACTTTGTGTAGGGATGAATGAAAACTATAAATACATGATAGTATTCATCACATAGGCTTTTAAAGCTTGCGATCACATGTGGCCCTTTAGAGCCTAATTAAGCGACCAATGTTATAGCCCAAATTTTCTGGTGATTTTCTTAGTGAATCATTGCACCTCTTCTTATTGAGTTGGAACCATTTCGTGTAGGGATGAACGAAAACTATAAATACATGATAGTAGTCATTCCTAAACGTAATGAAAAACATTTTACTATTTATCCAAACAATTAAAGAAATCATTGATCCTTTACATATTCAAATCCTTGTTTTCACTTGTTCATTTGAAGAATTACTTAGCTTTTGGTATTCTTGATTAAGGTATTTGCTAGTTTAATCCTTTAAAAGCATGATTTAAAGGATTTAAAGGAGGCATATATTGTTTGAGGACAGCGATTTTTTCGTGTTCGAGTGTTCTTCATTTTTTAATTTAACTTTTTGATCATTTTCATTTTCTCCTATATTTCTCTCCATTGCTATAATTTTCCAACAGATTACGGTTGAGTAGTACTCATAGTGGTGCTCATACCTTTGCATGTGACGTTGCGTCACAGGGTCTCTACACAATGGTGATGACACCACGTGTTCTATGACGGTGCTGGCTGAATAGCATTGTGATGCTACCTTACTGAAGCGCCTTTGTACGCTACAACACTGCTTTGCAACAGCAGGCGCTGGTGCTGACAGTAGTACCGTGAATCGTGGCATCCGACACTGTGAACGGTAGAGTTCAACACTGTAGGCACTGCAAAAGTAGCTTGTCGTAGCAACGTTGTCCAGTGACAACAAAGTAGCAATGATGCCAGTGGTTGCAGAGAAAAAGGGAGAAATAAGGGTTGGGTAAGGATTGGGAGACGGGGGGCCTCTAATGTAATTTTTCAAATTACAAGCCCATGCTTGCAATTTCAAATTGGGTGGTGGTGAAGAGCTTTTTCGAAAAGCGTAGTGGTTGTGATGGTACAATAGGTGGTAGTGGTGGTGGTAAAGAGCGTCCATGACCAATTATTTGGATGATTGTCATTGATAAATTTGTTAATTTGTTGTGGTTGTAATGTTGACTGCAGAGATGAGGTGGTGGTGATGGTGGTTGTTACAGCGGTGAGGAAGTTGTAGTGTGATGGCGTTGGAGTAGGGTTTGTGACTAATAATTTAATTAAATGTAAACAATAAATTAGTTAATTTGTGACCAATAAATAATATGTAACCAATTAATTGAGATTTTGACAAATAAATTTGATATTTTGTGACCGATAAGTTGTCATCAATAAATAATATGTGAAATAAAAATTTGAATTGTGACTTATAAAATTTATAATCGATAAATAAATTGTGACATTTTAATCTATGACCGTAAAATAATTTGCAACCTATAAATTTCTTATTCGTGATCGAGAATTAATTCGTAAATTAATTAATTCGATAATTTGTGATCAAATAGTAGTAGAATTGTGACTTTCATATATTTAATTAATCATTTCATAAATAAAATTTAATTAATATCTAATTTTTGAAATTTTAAACCTTATTTTTTAATTTTGAAATGACCCATATTTAATCTCTTATATATGAAAATTTTTACTTTACAAAATTCCAACAACCTTTTTTCGCCCACCGCCAAAATCTAGCTCCGCCATTGCTGAAATATCAAATATTTTCTAAATCAATTCCAACGACCATTTTTCGCCCACCGCCAAGATCTAGCTCCACCATTGCTGAAATATCAAATATTTTCTAAATCAGTTCGAATATTGACTTGAGGTAGTTTTATTTGTTTAGTCATGTAATTTTTAAACTTCACATATGAACAATAAAATTTCCAAAAATTTAAAATTGTGGCTTCGCCACTACTTGAAACAATATTTTCTAAATCAATTAAAATATGACCCGATAAAAGTAATTATATTGATAGTAAAAATAATTTTTTGATGTCAAGTGGATGGTTTTAATTGTGAACGTAGCTATTTGGGTGTAAGCTGATCAATTCTTGTATGATTTTTGCGGGTTTTAAATTTTTATAGTTTGAATTGTATCTTTTTGCTATCGTAGAAAGACTAATGGTGTATCTTTTTTGGATTGTATCTTTACATATGCATAATAATTTTTTCGTGAATTCAAAATTTTAGCTCTACCACTTCTTAAAAATATCAAATATTTTTTAAATCAGCAATCACATGTGATTGTTATACTTTTTGACTTTTTTAGCCAAAGTTATTTACGCATGCAAAAAGGGCCCCAATGTCTCACAAGCAATAATTCCATTCCAACTCAATTATTGATACGTGTTTTTCTCGTGCACTAACTTTCAATTAGAAATGGTTCCAACGTCTTGCCAAAAAAAATTGATACCAACTCAATTATTGATGCATACTTCTTTACCAACTCAATTAGAAAGGTCCCCAACTTGCCTGGTTACTTGCAAATGATTTTTAAATTTAAATTATCGAATATTGATACTCACGTAGCATTTGTCACTACATCTCATTCCGTTGTTATAAACAACAAATTTGATGCCATTACAGCGAAATAAATTTAAAAAAAATAAAAATTGTTGTGATATTTTAAGAATATTTAACCAAGAGATCAATGTTCAAATAACTAGCCTGATACTAAATATATTTAAATAAATGAAGTTTTGATGTTAACTGGAGGGTTTTCATCGTGAACTGGTAGTCGATTCTTAGATGATTTTTACGTTAATTTTTTTAGAATCCTCCTCCTATAATTGAAAGACTAGCTTGATGTAGTATTGTATATTTCATCATCTACTTTTTAACTTCACATATGAATAATAATTTTTTCACAAATTCAAAATTCTAGTTCCCCCACTACTTAAAATATCAAATATTTTTCAAAATAATTTTGAACATTGACCTAGACGTTTTCATTGTGAACGGAGTGTTTTGGGCTTAATCCGATCGAATCTTAGATGAATTTTGCTAGAAAGACTATTTGGTATTATATTTGTTTAGTTATATAACTTTTTAACTTCCACATATAAGTAGTAATTTTTTCAAACAAGAAAAAATAAAAATAAAAATGCTCTAAGATAATGTATCACTCCGAATTTCCTGTTCACAGTGGAAGTCTTATCTTGTCCGCTTTGAATAGATCCTTATTTAAGGTTCTTATATTTGAAAACAATCGTAAGCAAGGTTTTCCTGCCACATCAGCAAGTGAACAGTTTTATCCTACCCACTGTGGATAGGACAATAATTTCCGATAAAGTATATATCTAATCAGTAGTGCTACTAATGAATAAAAATAAATAAGACGACAGTTTTCTATATTCTACAAACAAACTGACATCAATTTCAAATCCTTTGTTCTCATTAGACCACAGAAGTACGATACAAAAGTTCACGACAACTCAAACCCAACGTTCTTATTCGGCACCACACACACACACACACAAAAGAAGCAGCATTCAATACATTGAATAAAAGCAAATGCAATTTTTCTGAAGTTGAACATAAGATGAAATTCGATAGTGTCTTTTATTCAAGCAAGTGAAACAAGACTGAAGAGAAGCCATCACTTCATGCATCTGATCTTCATCATCTATTCATCATATCCTTGGCGTTGTTGTACGATGAATCATCTGTGTGTACAAATTGCATAGACAATTATACGAAAACAATGTAAAAACTAGAAATATAATTGTTATTCATTTAATTTTCTGCCTGCAATTAAAAGTCAGTCTTGTGATCCACATTTTTGTAGTTTGTTTCATTGAATATATGCAAACAGATCTATTTCCTACATTTTAACTGGTAATCTGGGAAATTTAAAAGCACAATCAGTTATAAGTGAAGAAAATCTTTTGTACAATCAGAATTTGGCATCATATTAGAGATCATCTTTCAGGTTTTTATGATTCACATAATTGTTTGAAGAACAAGAAGCTTGGAGGAGAACCTAACCTCATATGTTAACTAATGTATAAGACTATTGGTTCAGTAAAAAGACGAGAAGAAAGCTGCTATTAATCTGCAATTCGACATGAATAAATCCAATATCTACGTCTTCAAACAAAATATTTGCTGCTCAAGTTTTCAATAGGACAAATATAAATAGAGTGAGAACGAGAAGTAGATGAAAATTTAGTACCTGGGAATGTGGCATTTCAGAGATTGAACAAATAGAGATCATCATTTATCATGATCAGGAGGATAAATGGAAACTTTAATTCCCTTGCCTTCATTTGCTTGCCGATATTCATTCTTTTGGTCTTGAATTTTCTTGGCAGAAGTAGCTGCTGCTTCGTTGGTCATGTACAACTCTATTGTCTGGAGGGTTGCAATATCCGCAAGGCCCAATGGGACTGCATTGAGGTAAGTGCAGTGTTGAAGATGAAGACTCTTGAGACTTGGGAAGTGACTACTAGAAGCAACCCAATTAGTTAAATCTGTCTTTCCAATATGCAAGATTTTAAGAGCAGGAAAACCTCCATCCTTTGGCTCCCACGAGTTTCCCTTGAATGCATTTTCTTTCAACTTGAGGATCTCAAGGTTTTCCAACATTCCCAGTGTAGACATGTAATTCCAATCAAGCTGTGTGCCATACAGTGTTAGCTTCTTTAGGTTTGGTGGAAATTTGTCTGGAGGGCTAACTGTTTTCCCTTTGGAATCTTGCATATCAACCACATCATTGAATAGCTTCAAATTTTCAAGGAAATTCAACTTTTTCACATTGTCAAACAAACTAGACCCACCCTTGACCTCGAAGAGTTTAGACAATTGACCACGAATACCCAACTTACTTAGGTTAGGAGCCCTGTCAAATGCAACTTCTGAACAAGTTTCAGGTGATATAGTTGAAAGTGTTCTTAAGCTTATCAAAGAACCTTCTTCATTGTTTCTTTTTTTAGATATGGGGTCCGAAAAAGAAGTGGGTGCATTTGTTTCTAGATGTCTCAGCCGAACCATTTTGAATATATCTCCTTTGATTTCAAGGGCATTTGATGATGTATTGACAATAAGAGTTTGCATATTCCAAAGGTTGGTAATGTATTTAGGAAGGATCTTGAATTGGACGGAGAGAACAAGGTACCTCAAATTAACCAGTAGAGCTAGGTCAGTAGGAAAACGGCTGAAACTTATGGGCTCACCCTCTAATACCCTGAGCAATTTAAATGTTTTGGGGATGGAAGAAATGTTTGCAAGTGTCGAGGGAATTTCGCCATTGGGGAAACACAACAAAGACCGAACATGTGAACCAAACTTTTCTGGAGATATAGTGCTCAGAAAATGGGGTGGAATAGAAAGGCCACGGTAAATTTTGGAGTCATCTTTGGAAGATGAATCAGTAATTTGATCAGACCGTTTGATTTCGTGGTAAAAATTTTCCTCAACTGCTTTATTCTTGCAAAACACATGGATCATGTCACGAACATAGCAAGTTTTAATCTTGCCATTTGACCTCCATTTTTCAACCATGACTAAATTCCTGTTGACAAGATCTACTAGATAGTCCTCTGCAATACCCTCCAAGTTTAACTCCCCTTTTTGTTGTATGAATCCTTCGGCAACCCACAAGCGAATTAGTTTCCTTACCGAGATACGATAGTCTTCTGGAAGCATCCCAAAATATATAAAACACGCTCTCAAGTGATAAGGTAGGTGATTAAAACTCCATGCTATAAAATTGTCCATTTTCTTCCCTAGATCCATTTCAAAAATATATTCCTTCACATTTTTGGAAACATCTTCCCAATGAGATCTTTCCGTACCTTTTTCTAGTAGAATTTCTCCAATCATCACTATCTTCAGTGGTAGTCCACCACATTCAGCAGCTATATTCTTTCCACGTTCGACCAAATCCTCTGGGCATTCCTCCAAGCCAAGTGCTTTTCTTTGAAGTAACACCCAACTCTCATCAATGTTTAGAAATCGCAAATCATGGCGTTCTACTTTACAGTCGGCATCCTTACCCATATTCTTGTCACAACTAGTCAATAATATTCTACTTTTCTTCTTGTTCTTAGGAAAAGCAACTCGGAGATGATTCCAGTCATTTTGAGTCCGAACATCATCCATGACAATTAAATACTTCTCTTCCTCCAAAGATCCAAGGAGTTTTTGAGCTAAATTTTCTTCTGTCATGTTACGTATCTCATCAGTGACCTTGGTGATTTGATCCAGAATAGTAAGGAAAACTTCCTTTCTATTATAATCTTGAGAAACATAAACCCATATACGATTGTAAAATTCGAATTCTATTTTAGGATCACGAAATACCATTTTAGCTAGTGTTGTCTTACCAAGACCTGGCACACCAACTATCGATACAATTGCCAGTTCTTCAGATTCTCTAGTAAGAAGATTGATGACTGTTGCTGCCTCGTCTTCAATACCTACCACAAGTTCTTCCTGTACGATGGGAGCCTAGTATAGTAATGACGATCATATCAGAAATGATGTGCCAATATCTAAATAATATTAGAAACTCAAGCCTATAATAAAACGAAATGTACAGCAAGAAAATATTCAAGATGAGAATACATGTCGATGTGTATGCTAATTGGAAAGTTTCAGCACTCTAACCTGTCACATAGATAATATGAGAATCAACCCGGTAAAAGCATCAGGTCAATGGATTACCAGTCAAATCGACGAGTTATTGTTAAACAAAAAATTTATTTAAAAAATAAAGAGCCATATGAATAACAATAAATATAAAATAATCATGGTTCTAGTTTAAAATTTGATGTATAAATTGAATTATTAAAAGTCTGAAGCTTTCTCTTGATTTTAAGATTATAATGAAAGAGAAACAAATATCTAAAACTTCACTCGTCAAGCATCAGGTATACCATGAGCCTGTTTAGGAGCGATTTTTAATTGACTTTTTGACCGTTATTTCATTATTTCAGCCATCATATTTGATTTCTTCTCTCTAAGGTCGACCACACTTTTCTCCTAACGATTAAAAAATCAATTCTCAAAATCACTTCCAAACAGGCTCATGATATAGTTTAAACTTCACATGGGATTAAATTTTTGAATAATAACATATTCTTTTGCATTCTTCTGGACCGATTAATATAAAATGTCATCCAAGTTGGACCGGATCGTTTACAACACGGTATGATGAGTAATTAGTCTTTAATCTTGAAAAATGTGTAAATTCTAATATTTAGCTCTTCAGTGGACGTTTTAGTTTTACCATTATCTACAAATCCTTATTTGATCCTCATTTTAAAAAAATTTATTTCCTCTCAAACTCATTTTCAATCAAATGTACTGACAACTTTTATTAACTTGTCAATCACATATTTCATTAACTTTTATTAAAATCTATTAAAAATTTAATTTTTATCCAGATAGATTCATCTTTATATTTGAATAAAGAAGAAAAGAAATGAGAAATCAAATTTATTATAACTGATTTATTAACGGGTTCTTATCAAGATGGCATAAAAAGCTCTCTGATGTAAATTGTAAACTAAAATAGTGAGATCAATAGTAAAGAATTCGAAAATACTTTTATCATTCAGAAAAGCTTAAAATACTGTAAAAGCTAAACAAAGTCCTTAAACTTATCAATTATTTGGAGCAGAAATTAGTTGTACAAACCCTGACTCCCGCCCTTGTCTCCAATCTTTAAAGAAATGAATTATGCAATAGCAGTAATTATCATCTATCTGATGTTTGTATCACTGAGGCGTGAGATCTAGTTGTATTTTAGCCATGGATTTAATGTGAACAAATTGTCTAAATTAAATGTGATTTGACAAGCAGTCAGACAATTACGAGAGAAGTAGTATCCATTAACTATAGGAAGATTTTCCTTGAGTTTAACTGTTACTAAAATGAGTATTAAAGCAATCAAAACCAGTATGAAGATTGGGTTGACTTAGAATCAAGTCATCAACAAAGCTAATCTAGTAATACACAGAAGAGTAAATGAGTTTATATATTATACCTTAGTTATTTTGCCAGGTTTAGATCCTCCCCCATCGAGCCTGGCCACATCGTCAGACTTCTTCTTCTTGATTATTTCATTCACTATCGCCTTCATGGGCTTAATCTTTTGCGCCAGATTTAAAAGCTTCGTGGGATGATCCAGTGGATGCTTTGTTTTTTTAAACATACTACTGGATTTGTATTGAGCTGCCTCAATAACATATTCATCCACAATATCTTCTGCTTCGTATACTGCGTTTCTTATTTGTTTCACCAATGCTTCCATGGCTGGATCCTCGATCGGTTTTTTTGTGGCATCCTGGAGGAAGTCTTTGAAGAAATCCAGATCATCACTCAGAGATTTCACTTTATCGTTCACTTCAGAAATCTGCTTACTGGTTGAATCAATCAATTCCTTTAGGTTTTCACGTATAAATGTCACCGTAGCGTCGATCATCCTCTTCTTCAATTGATTTCCGATAACAAAATCACCTCTACATGTATTGTAGATATTCTATGCTACACAGTGTGAAGATGGGAATTATGAGAAAAAAATTCTTAGAATAGCTTCATTCATGTGTGTAACCAAGTCATTTTATAATAAATTTTTTTCTTGGATAACCAGCCAGCTATGAAAAATCGTAAAATAGTTTCCTTTCACAATGGTGACCAGCTAGAGGCGTCATATAAAATATCAAAAAAGATAAATATATATTGCAAATGACAGGTCAGTACAAGATCAATAATTTCAATAACAAGTGGTGAATATTGTAACACATGGAATTGCACCAGTAGAACACTTTAAAATTTTAAATTGACTCGGTTTTTACAATCTTGCTGTCAAGCAACAAAATCACGACTTTTGTTCTCTTACATGCTTAACTGATATGAATGGCTTGAAATTTTGATTGTCCACTGACGATCGTGTTAGAGCCAAATACATTTTGCCCCGTTTGGCCCTCATTTTTTATAATAAAAATAAGAGGAATAGTATTTTGTTAAAAAATAAGTGATTGAAAAAGAAGAAAAAATTTTCAATTTACTTGTAATATTATTTTATGAAAAATTGTGTAATTAAAAATATGACAGAAAAAAAGAATGTGATGAAATGTAATTTAATGGAGCCAAACAGGGGCAAAATATCTACTTTATAATCATTACATATAATGATATGCAAATTTAAAATATTCATATATTAATGAAGAGTCTGTTTGGGAGTGATTTTGAGAATTGATTTTTTGACTGTTAGGAGAAAAGTGGGATCCACCTGTGAGAGAAGAAGTCAAATATGACGGCTGGAATAGTAAATAACGGTCAAAAAATCAATTTTTTTGGTGAAAAAATCGGGCCCAAACAGCCCCTAAATATAAGAAAAAATTAACTGCTTTATGGAAAAAGTAGAATAAAGAGTTAAAAATAAAGAATTTGTTGGAGTGTGTGAAAATTTTAACCTCTAAATTTAAAGATTTTCTTTATTACGTATAATGCTCTTTAAAAATAAAAAATCTATTAAAATTACTTTGAAGCATAATTTCTTCCCTAGCTCGACAATTTATCAGCTACCCCGTTGTAATTATGTTATAAAGTCGAGTCATTTTATAATATATTTTCTGTAACCACATGTTAAACCAACAAGTGTGAAATATCAAATAAAAAAAAAAACTGTTTAAATATAGAAAATGAAAGATAAGGGAATATGATAGCAGTTTTATTATTCTGACAGGTCTGTTACTACAGCAGCTCTCTTATTATAAAGCAATTTGATGCTTTCCATGTAAAGTTTTAAAATAATGCCGGGTGTACAGGATAATGGCTCACAGATATTTTATTGGGCTCCTCACTGTACAGAGCCTCACATGTATTAAAAAGGACAAAAAAATTAATTGGACCCCATGTATATGGTGGTCTAGCAGGATCCTGTAAGTTGAAATTTTTACTACAGACAAGCATTGAATATGACAAAGCAATTTGACACAGTTTCCATGCAAATTTTTTCCAAATTTTTCCGACTGACAGGCATTGGAATATGATAAAGCCATTTGATGCTTTCCATGTAATTTTTTACGACACGAGCATTGAATATGATAAGCAATTTGAAACTTTTTCCATGTAAATTTTTACGACTGACCAGCATTGGAATCTGATAAAGCAATTTGATATTGCTGGCTTTCTATGTAAATTTCTATCCCTTTTATGAATATAGCAAGCCCATGTTAATTTCCATTTTTTATCCATTAAAATAAAAAATATAATCGTTATTCATCACATTATGTCATTAAATTTAAATTTCTGTCTTTTATGTGGAGCCTATAACGACTATATTTTTCATTCTCATTTTTACATTAATACGTACCAAACGGGAAAATTTTTAAACCCTTTTTTTTCTTAATTTTCATTTATACAAAAAATGGTAACTTTTAGCTAGGAGAATGTTTGTTTTTCATTTTTGCACAAATGGTTACATCTCAATAATATTTTAAAAAATCTCTACCAAACAACCTCTTCTCAAACAACTTGAGAAATGAATGGTTTGAAATTTTGCCTTTTGAGAATGTATATTTTAAGGTTTATTTATTGCATAGCTTTCTCCTCTTTATAGACAAAGTTATAACATGATCAGGTGCAATTATTTAACAAAGTTATTCTATAATAATTTTTTGAACCGCCTACTAAACCAACAAGTGTGCTAAATACTAATTTTTTTAGAAAATATAGCAAATTATAAATATTTATTTGAATATAATAAAGCAATTTGCAGGATCAATTCATATTAAATGTAAAAATTGAAAATATAGCAAATGACAAATAAGAATTGGAGTATAAGAGCATCTCCAATGCAACAATGTGAAACGTTGTACTAATTATGAGAATGGAGATAACTGCCTCTTCAATGGGATATGGATTGCAATAATTATGTGCAACATGTAAAAGAAAGAGGATGTACAGAAAGAGTTGAGTTAAATTGTAAAAAATTAAATTGACACGTTCTCGAACGAAAATAAATTATCAAATATTAAGTGGAGTATGTCTAATACATCTTTTACGGGTTGATTATGTGCTAAATATTTTTTATATTTTTATTGCCATTTAAATTTTTTGACGTGATGTGATACTTTTTGGTGCAACTTACGATTTCATTCGATTAGAGTTGATTTCTATCTCTAGTGGGAAAGAATAAAAAGGTTGTTTGAGATCCATTTTTATGTAAAAATGTATTTTAAAATAGTAAATTGATGAAAAATGTGTAGTTGAAAAATAAAGAATTTTTTTTATTTACGTGTAATATTTTTTTAATAAAAAATGTGTGGTTAAAAAAAAAAAGAAAAATACATTTTGAAAAAAAATGAATATCAAACACTGCAAAAAAAAAAAAATTCGTTGTTGGTGTGGCAAGAAAACATTAATTATGGTTCTCTGATGACTATTTCTGAGAACCATAATTAAAATCTTCTTGCCACGTCAGCAATGCGATGAAAATTTTTTATTCTGTCTAGTTGTGTCAAGAGATCAAGCATGTTCATTGGACATGTCCTAATAGTATTCCATTGTTGACTTTCTCAAGGTAATTTGTTACAAGTACCTTTGGTCTTATTCAACTCTTTTGCCAAATAATAACTTGTAAGTGCGGGGGCAACCCCAGCCAAGTTGGTCGGGCAGTTGGACTAGTAATCGTGAGGTTGCTAGTTCGATTCCCGTTGGAACTGCTTATTGACCTTTTTGGTTTGAGCTGGTCAGCTATGGGTAACCTAGGCTGGTTTACCTCCTTGTGGTCCTTTGCCGGCTAGGATCACAAGACGAGGTTTACCTAATGCGCACATCTGGGTAGCGGCTGCGGGTTCCCTTGTCAACAAAAAAAATAATAATAATAATAAAATAATTGGTAAGTGCAAAAAATACACTTATTTTGATCGTCAAAAATAGCTTTTGGGATTAATTTTAGAACTAGATACTTGACTTTTGTGTGTTTTTTATTATTTTAGTAGAAAATTCGAGATAGACAAAAAAAAAAAAAAAAAAAAAGGAAAAAAAGGTGGAAAAAAAAAAAAAAAAAAAAAAAAGGGGGGGGGGGGGGATGAAAAGGAGCAATAGTTGATTAAAAATGAATAAGTTGGACATATTCTGGAAGTTATGGACTAATGAGTCACATTTGGAAGTTGAAGGACCTCGATTGTAAAATGTAAGGACTCAATCTGAATTAAAAAGGATAACATCACCAAATTGTAGAAGCAAAGTATAAATTCCAACAATTTGAGATTGGACTTAGGGCATGTTCGATAGTGATTATCAGAATTGATTTTTTAATAGTTAGAGAGAAAAGTGGGTCCGTGAGTGAAAAAGTAAAAAATGAGGGCTAAAATAATAAAATAACAGTCAAGAAATTAATTTTTTTACTACCAAACGAGGCTTAAATTATGGTTTCCAATCATCTTGAAACTCTATTTTAGATCTAATTTACGTTTATAAATATAAATCTTTTATTCCATTATTGGGGATTAGAGATACAATCTTAAGGCATAATTAGACGTCCAAATACATTGAATCCAAAAAGGTTAATTGGCACAAAACGTCCCTACCTGTCATTTTTGACATTTTTGCACCTGTTTCCACTTTTCTTTATGCTAAACGTCATTTTTATCATTTTTGACGTAAAATGACTAAAATACTCTTCTATTTAAACAAAAAAAAAAAATTGCAACTATAAACTCGAACTTTTCATATGTGCAAATTTAAAAAAATAAAATAAAAAAAAAGGTCTTCCACACCTCATCTCCCACTCCCATTTCATCGTCGGTCAAAAATTCTAAATTGCTTCATTTAAATGGTGAATTACAACAATTGATTCACTACCTAGAGTCGTTACACTTTGAATTGTATTCTAGTTGGAGCGATTTGTTGATTGTAGATGTGGAGGAACACTAATTGAAATGGGATCGAAGGGTTTTGCGTTTTCTCCGTTTTGTGAATGAACTGCCATGTCCAGACAAAATTGGGATAGACCCATATGTCCGTGATCATGGGTCCCATCACTGGCGCCGAAAATTTGCTTGAAAACTGCGAAATGGATGTGTTAGAAGTTGCAGCCTGTTTGGTTTGATTTTGTGAATTAAATGACATTCGAGGACCATGGACAGGGACCTCTTGGTGTGTATATTCGACTAGAATGTTAGGAATGGCATGAGTCTTGTCGGAACAGGTTGTGCTGCCCCGTATTTGCATTTCCGAGTTCGATATTTTGGCTTGCAACTTCTACCAAATCTGTTGGCATAGTAATTGGATGATGAGTGCTATGTGTAGAGGGGAGTGAGAGCTATCCGACGGTATGGAGGTCCGATGGTTTCGGCAGTGGTTGTCCGAAGTTTATTAGCTTCAAAGTGGCGGTCAATTATAGGTGGTTTAGTGACTTATTTTTTCAATGTTCGGGCTGATTTGCACATATGGAAAGTTTGGGCTTATATTTGCAATTTTGTTCTTATCATTTTTTTGTTTAAATAGAAAGGGTATTTTGATCATTTTATGTCAAAAATGGTAAAAATGCCGTTTAACGCAAAGAAATGTGGAAATATGAGCAAAAATGTCAAAAATGAAAGGCAATGACGTTTTGTACCAATTACCCAATCCTAAAATTTGTACCTCAAATTTGGGATTTGAGGTTGAAAAACACAATTGACTGGGAG